AACACATTACCATTACATTGACACTATATATTATAAATTATGTTAAATTTTACTATATCTCTTATCTTAAATTTCCTTTATAATCTTAAATTGCTAATTGACGTCTAAAAGTTTATATGATTCATTTATTTTACAGACTTTTTCTTTGGTTACTTTAAGATTTTGATCACGAAATAATATATAAATATATACAATTTTATGCCGTTCAGTATATCGTGGGGATTGGGGATTTACCTTTCACTTGGGCTCACCTAAATAATACTTCAGGGTTTCCAAATGAAAATGGAATTAAAAATAAAAACAAAAACAAGTTTAGGTGACACACACACATATACATTAATCTCAGAATACACTTATGTTTTAATGATTAAATTATCATCTTAAACTATAAAACTATATCTCTTGAGGTGTCTAATATTTTATTTAATCAGCCTGTTATCATATGATAATGATTTAAGATAAACTTATATAAAAGATAAGTGATTTTTTTAAAGCTAATTCATCTTATTACTTACTTACAGTTAAAAGTGAAATTACAGGTTTTATCAGTCGTTACAGCGGCGTAAAGAGTTCGTTTTAATGAAAAAAAAAATTTGTATGCAAATTAAATTAAGATCACAATAGAATACTGGGTCATATTTTATGTTATTGACGAAAATTTCTCGTAAAAAAATTACATTCTTTTGTAAGGAAATAAAAGAGAAACTTTCACAAACCGGACAATTTATCAAATTAAAGAATGAATATAACAAAGAGTGTCGCGTTACGCGTACGTTTACGTACCAATTTCATTAAGATACGTTAAATTCTTTTCGCTAATTAATACTACTTAGCATAACCTGTTACTGACACCTCTGTTAACTTCTACACAATATTCATTTGGTAATTTATTAAAGGAGTTTCTTTGATTCGGTCTAGTTCAAGTTTGTTTTGTCAACAGAACACACGTATTTCAAGGTTTCCATTTAAAAATCATCCTCTATACTATTTCATGTTTGAATTATATTTAACTTTCCTTAATTTACGAAATATTGTACATATGTTACAGAAAATAAGTCATAACAATGTTTTTTTGCTTATTAAAGTAAAACCTTATTTTATTTACGTTTCGACTATACTGTAAGTTCTTATACTGTAGGTAGTACGAACTGTTGTTCATATAGGCTCATTGTTAACTGAACATATTCATTAAATTTTAAGAATGAATTAAATCTCGAGAGGAAAAAAAAACAACAGTACTGTATTATGTACATATGTACTGTACTGTATATATTCTCATTAAAAGCTAAACATATGATAGAATTAGATAAGTATTATAACTTGACAATAAACAGAAAAACGCTCCGTATACAAAATGAAGAATTAAACATGTTTTAAAATTATCTTCTATATTTGAAATAAGTATAGGACAACAAAAAATGAAAACAACATCAAATTCCAATAGAAGGAATGAATCATTAATTCGAATACAATATTTGCATCCCTACATCTCGTGATACTCTTAAACTGAACTAATTAGGATGTATGCTTATCAAATTGCTTCATGAACATTTCACACGAACGTTGACTTGAATTCAGACAGTAGACTGTATAATAAAGAATATAGCTTCCTAAATTAGTTATTAAAATACTACTAGCGAGCACTAATTTCAGCCAGAATGGACCTTTGTATCAATTTACTAAAACAATTGAAACAAACTACTTAACGGAAAGACGCCAGCAGAATGGTATTGAATTATTATACAACTTTTGTTTGTATTGTTTAAAACAAAAATTAATGATATGAGACATTTCAGGGTGACTTCTCAATATATATTAGTTGTAATTAAGCTAGACACTTAAGAGTTTAGTTTTACGTAACAATAGTTTTAATTTTACATTTTTTGGATGTTACCATTTGTTACCATTTTATCGTATAAAAAAAATGAAAAAAAAATAACTTTGAAGGTTTCGGGGAATATCAAGTCATAATAATAAAATGTTTAAATCTATTTTGCAAGATGGCCAATCACTTTACAAGTCCTTATAGGGAGTGTCTCTGAAAGGGTGCTATAAAGTTGCGATGATAGTCAGCTTCAGTCAGTTATCACCGGTTAGAACTCGCGAATATGACAATGCTTCTGAGTCGGTTGCGCTCTCATTAAAATTTCATTGGAATTTTGCTCATAAAATTAAGTTAGTTAAAAATCCATCTTGCAGTTTAAATTATGTGATGATGAAGCTTTATATCATGACTCATGAGATGAATAACATGTGGAAAAAGAATTGATAGGATATTGAAGTTTGAAATGTATGTTTAATATAATAGGAAATAGCTCAATCTTTCTATCATGAAAATAAAAAAAAATGAATAATGCCTAAGTCTTTATAAATTACAAGCTGTTGCCTGCGATTTTGTCCGCATATGAAACCTTCTTTGACAAGCTTGACCGTCCTGAGAAGGTTTTATTCATCAGATCCTCACTTCGCAAAAGTTGGATTACCTCAATATAACCTGAGGTAAGGATTATCTGGGTTTGTCCCAGTTTTGTCCCATAATATCTATGTAGACGATCATTTTAAGAATTGCATTTTTGATGGCATCGTATAAGATTTCATATGCGTTTAATGAAAATCTGTTAATTTGAAATTACAAACAAACTTTCCGATATAATATATTACTAAAGATATGTCACTCCTAGATAACACATAAACAAATAATTATATTAACTTAAAAAGAAGTTTAAATGAAACTAATATTTTTCGGATTATACAACGCTTATTTTATACTACGCGTATTTCAGTTTAGTTACGGAGACATTCACATCTCGTCTGCCCCTGATCACGGATGCTGAAAAGGAACCAAAACGTATGTATGTAGTTTCCACAACAGTTAAATACGCGCAGGATAATCCAAAAAATATTAGTTCAATTTACATGATTACTCTCGAAAGTCTTAGATCTCATTAAAAAGAATTTGATGTTAAAAACGCATATAACGTTATAGAATGTCATTATTTGGGAGTAATTTGTTTTAATATCAAATGTCATAATTCTTACATCGTTATTATCTGAGCTACTCACAAACAGTCAGCTCCGGATATCGGTGACATGATATTAATTTGAAGAACATGTCTATTTAATTTTAATGTTAGCCAATAACAGAATGTGCTAGGACAGTTATTTTATATATAAATACGGATCATGGAACAAATAAGCTTTAGAATAGTTGTTCTAAGTAATTCAATATAATGATAACTAATAAAAGTTCCACGCATTGTTCTCTTACTAAGGACCTACTTATGTGCATTTTTATTTTTTTAGCTTGACTATTGCTGTTAGCCCTATTGGCTTTGTCACAGTCATCGGGGAGGGATGGTGGTCCGAATAGGATTTGCCCTTGAAACACGGACCTTAAGAGTCGCCGGGGCCACGCCTATCCCATGGTAGGCACTAAGGGGCCGGATCTTGGCTTAGGTCGTCCTTGTAGGAAGGATGGCTTCGGGGGATTTGACTGTATCACTCTTTTTATACAGCTGAAAGTCAGAATATATGAAGCAGGATGATGTCTTCGCTGACCAAGATGGTGATTTGTTGAGAGTTGATATGTTAAGGAGACATTCCTGTCTGTTAGGTTCAATCGTAGAAAATCGTTATGGTTATTATGGTTCGTGTGTAATCATTATTTTTATGGAGTTTCATTTACGTGTTTAGATATTCCTCGATAAATGTTTATGATTATTTTTCAGACTCGATAATCCCTAAAAATAAAAAATAAAACAATAAATTTTAATTCATACCTAAGCATGGTGGCATTTTCGGGATTGCACTTAACGAATAAGCTGGCAATAAAATAGCAGTTGCAGTAAAAATACATTAAGTATGTCCATAATATTTGACAGTCCAGGGCTTAAAGTTAGTTGATAAATAAAAAAAAACTCTACCGTAATTTTTTTAACATAATGGGGAGATTTAATAAATAGAAGATAACGATGGTAAGGAAGATCAGATTCATCAGATCCTTGACAAGAAAAAGAGTATGTTGTGAATTATTTATTCACAATAAACTAAGGGACTTCGTTTTTGAATGAATTGTTTTTAAGCAGATAGTTTATCACTGATTATTTGTTCGCCACTTTAATATTCATATCCAGACGAACAAGTTTAGGTTGTTTAGAAATTAGTTTGATAATAATTTATTCCAGCGATAGTGTACTCTAAATTTTTGAGATGAGAGCTCATATTGCTTATCCGTAAGTAGAATTCTCTTACAGTTAAAATAATTGACATAAATAAAATTCTCTGTCTTTTAGTATACTTTAAAATTACGTAGCATGAATTAAGATAGAAACAGACCAAAGATTAAAATTCTTTTCATTATTGTTCCACCTAAATTCAAAGACTTTTCATACTTTTATTCCATACAACTACATACATGTTTTTAAAGTTTTTTTGCAAATGTTTATAGTAATAAAGCAATGATGAGCTAAATACTTTAATAAAAACCGATATAGAAAATATAAAATTATATATGTTAATTAAACATATGCGAGTCTATATGGCAAAGTAACATGATATACAAAAATCACAGGTTCGTATTTCCCACTCGCTTTCCACACTACCTATTTAAATTTTATTTCAACTAACTCCAGTAATCAAATTCATCTATTTTTTATCTGCTTGAAGTTTGACAATCTCAAATTTATGCTTGATTCGTTTTAAAAAAACTTATACTTAAAAAACTTTAAAAAAACTTATACCGGCCATGTTTCTGATGATAGTCAGTGGTGGCCTAGTGGTTAAAGGGCCCGACTCTCGTGCACGAGGTAGCGAGTTCGATCCTGGCAAGTACCAATGTGATTTTACCGAGTCATATGTATTTTCTAAGAGTATTTAAACTTAAAATAATCCAAAAACCAATATTTTGCTTCTTTTATTCTTCTTCTATAAAAGTTATAACCAAAGGATTTATTTAATTTAAAAAAAATATCTCTAACACACTCATTATTATCATTAAACGATTACACAGATACTCGTGAGGCACTTAGTTCTATAATCATAGGCAGAAAATTCCTTATTATTCTATGTCACGGTAGAATTTCATATAAAATAAAACCAGAAACTTCACAAAAATACTTTATTGTATTCCTGCGACATTTTTGCACTTAGCCTAGGTATGATCTACTTCAGAGGGATGAACCTGGAACTGTGAGTGGCACCAATACCCGGCCGACCGTGCTTTACCGGTTTGTATGTCACCGAGAATTCACCCAAGTAGTGACCAATCATCTCAGGCTTGATTTCAACCTGGAATGTAAATATATACATAGATATTAAAATGCTTATTCTTCAGGTTAACAATTATACTAGTGCTAATAAGGGGATATTCAAATATATATATGTACAAAATTATGTACTGCACATATAAAATGCATGTAGTGTTTTAAAAGAATGTAATCAGTTAAATGTAAATTTAGTGGTAAAGAAAATATTATTGTATTATTGATTCAAACTTTTTTCTTTTTTGTAAAATATCATTGTAAGAAGTTTTGTATGGAAACTATATTTTGTATATTCCACAAGGCAAATACAGAAATATTAAGTACTACTAAAACTTAGCCTCAGTAAATTAACTAATTTCTATCACTATTTATGTTTTAGCTAGGACTCCTAGTTAGCCGAAAACGGGCCAATGACTTGTAATCACAAAGTATTCTCCTAATTTTCTATTCAACAACAAAATTATCTCTTACATGTAATATACACAATGATAAACATACCTGATTGAAAGTCTTGCCGTTGTAAATACCGACAATGGAGCCGACCATTTCTGGCACAATGATCATATTTCTCAAGTGTGTCTTAACAATCTCGGGCTTCTCATTTGGTGGAGCTTCCTTCTTAGCGCGTCTCAGTTTCTTCACCAGCGCCATCGGCTTGCGTTTGAGACCGCGGGCGAAACGCCTGCGGGCGCGAGCGTGCATCAATTCCATGAGCTGCTCACTGAAAATACCACACATAGAATAAATAACTCGTATTGATTGGTAAAGTTAGGTTTGTGTACAAAAAGTATAGACTACAGGCGATTCTTAGCGTGTTTACTAAGAAAAAACTAACCTAAATTGTAGAAGAGCATTTGGCTTATTCAAAAGATCATTTATATAGCGCATTCAAAGTTGTATGTTGAGGTTATGTTTTCTAAGATGAGTTATATGTAAACGGTTATAATTTATCATTTGATGACAAAAAGTAAGTTTATTAAGTGCTAGAGATACCGTAATAAATATAATGTGTACTATACAAGTAAGACCCCATGCAGTACATGGTAAACCGGCCGTATTCGTATACATGATAACACAGGTTTTGCTTACTTTGGCATATCAAGAAGCTGGTCCAAGTCGACACCTCGGAAGGTAAACTTCCTGAAGGTACGCTTCTTTTTAAGAGTTTCGTCGACCTGAAATACGTAAACATTTATTGTCACTATCAAAAAATAACATTATAGAACACATCCAATATACACACATAATGTTTCACTTATTTATTTCACAGCTTTAGAAAGACGATTGATAAAGTATAAATGGATTTAATATTTTAAAAATAATCACGAACCTCAGCCATGTTTTAGCCTTTGACAGAACGAAAGAAAAGGACAAGAGGCCGATGTATGTCAAATCTGGTACATTAAATGACAGCTGAAGGTGACAGTTGGATGTGATGTTACCATTAAACTATATAAGCATTTATTTGTAATATATTATTGTATATGTCTTATTTATTTGTTTAATTGTGTTGAATTATTTTTTATTAACCATAGAATTTTTCAATAAAATAAACGAATTCACACATATAAATAAGAAGATTGTAGGAAAATCAACATGAAAGGTACTAAGGTTATAAACTTTTTGCCGTAAAATTGAGTAGGCATGTAATATATCAATGTATTTAAATCCTCGAAGATAAGATACAATGCCATAATTATGAAAATGGATTGATTTCATCCATTGGTCATGTTTAGTTTTCATATTTAAATTTTTATGTTGAACGTTGTTACTTATATTGTACTTCAAAAAAAACTAAATTTATCCATATGATAAAGAAGTTATAGTTACAATTCAATTATTTTAAAATGTTTAAAAAATAAATAAATAGATTGATAACTGCAAAAAAGTATATACAGTGAAAAAAGACACCCAATAATTATATTACAACATATTAATGTTAGCAGTTAGTTAAATCATGATTGGTGATCATATGATTTCATGATAGGAGACAAAACTAAATACAAAGTTTAATTTAAATTTATATTAATTATATCAAACTTATCATATAGTAATTAAAATTGTCACAGACAACATACACATTTTATAAAATTGAGACAAAATCATTTGTAGACCTTAGAAATTTTGGCAATCATTGCCAATTGATTTGTGACAATATTATTTGTAGACCTTACAAATTTTTACAATCCTATTACAAATTAATTTGAGACAAAATTATTTGTAGACCTTACAAATTTTTACAATCTTTTATAAATTTATTTGTGACAAAATTATTTGTAGACCTTACAAATTATAACAATCCTTTACAAATTAATTTGAGACAAACTATTTATAGACCTTCGAAATTAGGTAAATTTTTTACCAATTAATAGTAGACAGATTATTTGCAGACTTACAACTTTAGACAATATTTTGCCAATTAATTTGAGCCAAAATCATTTGTAGACCTTAGTAATTTCGACAATCTTTTGCCAATCAATTTTGGATATGTTTTAGTTTTTAATAAGAACTCCTTGGACTGATGTGTGACCGCTCCATTGTCCAGTTGATATTTGCAGAGCATATGCAGAGGTCCATTCAACTGTTCCCTATATAGTGGGTTATTTTCGAGTTGCGACAAAGCCTCGGCAGCTGTTTCCAAGGTGCTCAAACAACCCTCCGTTGGTTGTGTCCTTATAATATAGTTGCTAGTATTTGTGGTGATAAGTTTAACTTGTTTTATATTATGTAAAATTGGACTAGATGCATATATGGCTTTGGCTTGGGGCCAGGTGCCATCAATTATCACCAAGTTGTAGGATGACATGTCTTTGTCGAGTTCCTGAATATTGATAGCAGCTTTACTGGGATACAATAGTATTGTATTTGGTTGAGTTAATATGTTTTCTAGGTTCTCGTGTCTAGGTTGAGGAAATTTCTTCCCTTTGTAGATGAGACACTTATTTTCGACTAAGCCAAGTTGCAACATAGGAGCTGTACGGAGACATCTCTTTTCTTCACCAGGATGTTGTAATAGGATGACAGTGCTTCGAGGAACGAGCCTCTCTGGTGGCAGACCTTTGCACCAACACACTACTGAAGGTCTTCTGTAAGAAAATTATTAATAATATTAATTACATTCATCTCTAAATGTAACTGTATTCCATGGATTTAATTTGACAACAATTAAAATAAATAAAGAAGAACTATATGGTTATCATTTCTATATCAAAATAACTAGCTAATAACACTTACTTGCATTTCATACACAAATCTCTCATAACAGGTGGATCGGCGGGTATATTAGATAAATCCCCCCAAACGTCTTCTTCATCCATTTTTGTTAAGATTGCGTTAATAATTAAGTACACATTACTTTTTATATACGAAATATACGTTAACGTACATTATTCTTAATAATAACTCATTCACAATGGAATAGTTAATAAAATTAACAAATTTTTGGAACTTATGAAATGTCTTAAAAATATACCATAATAATATAAAACTATGTTTGTAATATAATTTTACTCGTGTTCGGTATAAATATGAGAATTAAATATGTTGCAAAAAGGTACATTAATATTTGGAAAGTTGCTTTAATTCGCTCATTACTTAATTCTACAACTGAAGAACAAGTAATTTCTTAGTTATGATTTTCAATCACTAACTATGAATAATGTAATTTACATTTTCTTTATTATCCAACGACATTTAAGTCAGATTTTTTTTAAAAGGACTTGCCTTATATTGCTTTTTGTGACAACTGTCAAGTATGAATTGACGCAAAAATTTCTCCGCCAATCTACGCCTCGGAAGCTAGTATTTATGGTCATATACCTTATAATGTTTGTAGTAATAGATTTGGTTATACGAAAATTCTACAATAAAACGTGTGTTCTGTATCGCAGTCACATTATCCTTAATCAATTTTACTATATTAGAATAGGTTTTTTTCCGTTAATTAATTGTTTCTGTAAACTTTTTCTCTAGAATATATATTTCGTAACAGATATAAATAATGTTGTCACAATAATGATCCAAGTAATGAAATTATTACATATTATTCGATATATATGTTACATTGTAGCGATTTTTTAATTAAACTGGATGTAAGTGAAATATAAGAATAGTAGATAACTCAATGTAATTATTTATTTTTTTATTGTGTTTTTTTTTAGTTATTGATAAAAAAATATTTCCAAATAATATTTTTGTTTTAAGTATTATTAAAACATTTATAGAATTTCCAGAATTTTGGAAACATAGTGAAAATTTTGTTTTATTTCTATAACCATTTTGTTATGTGACTAAAAAGAAATTTAAAAAGAGCAAAAAAGAAATAGCGAATCTCGTAATAAGACCAACGAGTAAAATATGTCTATGGGGTATGACGCCATTTTAGACCGCATATATCTATTATTATGCTTGGCATCTCTGTCTTACGTTCGAAATACTCAAATGCATGAAGAGGCAGGGTATAAAATACACTAGCTTTCTCCTTTGTACCTACCTAGATTTTTATGCGAATGATTTGTAAACATGGTGGCCGAGCAATGTAAAAACAAAGTGCTCCATTGAAGTAAAATCTTTACTACCATTGAAGTAATTCTTCGATATTTTGAAAGAGGTCAGTTACATTGTTTGAGTAATACAACAGAATGAGTTTATAATAACCTATCAGAATTATTTGGTTTTATATTTCAATTAGTATGAATGTAAACGTATGCATTTATTTGGCGCCAACGGCGTAAAAAGACCGTTAAACCTAATATATTCAGCTAAAATTCATCCGTTATAAGTATTTTACTTGTCTATCCATGCAATTTAATCCACCTCAAAGTAGACGTAAAACCAAGTTTTTAGTTACATGGTGAAATAAACTGGTCCAACGAGTGTCGTCAGATCTGTCATTCCGACAAATTAAAATTAGATGTAGAGAAAATCTTACAAAATCAGTGTTAAGACCCTCTCTTGTTGTTATTGTTGTTAACAGTGTCAAATAACATTTCAGCTAATAACTATGTCTACGCACAACTTGTGAGTGAAATGATGAAATTCATAGTTTTCTATTTTGGAACATCTTGACCAACCTTGAAGTAAGTACCTTAATTGCTGCGACTTTTTTATTACCTCACATCTTGTTTTTTCACCTCTTTATTTAGCTTTGTATAATAGATATACGAGTGCTTACGTTGTAATGTTAAAAATCAAAACAAGTATCAAGCCTCACTAACGTCAATTCCGTCGTAATCACGATTCATGTTTTAGGTATTTAATATACAGAAACTTCTTGAAGCAAACATATTAATATAGTAATAAAAATTATAATATATATTTATATATGTTATTAACAACATTTTTCTATATGTATCACTCAGGCTGTGTTTCTTTCGAGATTCATATAAAGCTGTTTTATTATGATAAATAAATAATAATAGTATGTTATTATTTCACATAAGAATCGTGAAACCAATGTGATTTTTTATAAGTAATAAAATGTTACTAATATTTATTTTTATTGCTTAGTTTTTGATAATTGTTTGACTTTTCAACTGTTGTCAAAGTCTTATATTAATAATACCTCAATTTAAGAGTTTATTTAATTAAATGTTAAGATATTAACATAAAATATGTTTTAAATTTCAGAAATGGGCACAGAGGTGCCAAAAACTCAAGACTCAAGTGGTGATTCAGATTCTAACAGTGATTCTGAGGTATGTACTATAAATTTTAATTAAATCAAATCAATTAAGTACTAAAATGCTATATTATATATTTATTTCAAACATAGATCATTAATTGGTGTATTGTTTTAATTTCAGAATGGCAGTTCAAGTGAGTCATCAGGTAGTGATTGGAAGTGTACTGGGAGTAAACAGAGCATATCTCGGAAACCTCACTTTTCAGTCACCTCCTGTGATACTGGTTTGAAACTTAAGATCGCTGCCATTCAACCAAGGAAAGCTACACCCAAAAAAGCTGTTAAACCAGTCGTCAAGAAACCCAGCGAGCAAAAGAAGACAAAGGAGGTTATAAAGGAATTATCAGACAGTAGTTCAAGTTCTGAGTGTAGCAAGTGCTCTTCGAATTCATCTAGCGAGGACGATCTTCCCCTTAAGACTGTCAAGAAGAATTTGCCAGCGAAATCTCAGCAGAAAACAACAAAGAGGAATACAATCAAGAGTGATAGTGATGATCATTGTGATGCTAAAGACAGTTCTAAGGTTAAGGAGAAGCCGTGCACTTCTAAGAGTAATGTTAGTGTGAAAAAGACTAAAAGTGTGGACGGCTGTTATGATGGAAATACTAAGAGAGCACCGGTCCGACAAAAAACTAAGGTGAGTCATATGTTTTTAACTCCAATCAAAACTCAAGGTTTCCTTTAAGTACGTAACTCCATTCTACAGTAAATCCTCTCAGTATTTTGATGTGATGATCAAATGGTGTGTGTAGTTTTTGTATATAATACATTAAAAATTAAGGTATATAATTGAGTAGTGATAAAATAGGAGGATCCAAATTAGTATATTGTCTAGGTTTTACTTGGATATCACTTCAATGTTCAGTACCCTTTACCCTTATAATGAGTTTGTATCATAAAAACTAAATACAAGCAGTTTTCAGTTATCATCAATAAATTTACATTGGTAGAGAAATGAAAAACCGTAATCTGTCCATTGAGTTTAATGACCCATACTTGTAATATATTTTAATTAAACATTAGTATGTACATATATATTTATATGGAATTTTCATTGCAGTAAGATATTTAATTATTATTTCAAATATGAGTCATATTAATAAAGAATCAATCAGGTTGCTCTATAGAGAAGCATTTTGATTTATTAAATAGACTTGATACTAAGACTTAGTTAAGTTATAAATTGATTATTCATAAATCTATCAATATTTATAATCTTGTCTAAAAGTCAAAATCCATGTTGACCTTTGTAATTATTAAAATGTATGAGAGAAGAGAGAAAAATATCTCTAGTTGTAGAACCTCAAATTTCTATTGAAATAATTTAAAATTCAAATATTTTTTAACCTGTTTTAAATCTCAGAACATAAATTTTTATTCATCCAATTAAAATTCTATCTATATTTTTATTATATAAGAACAAATAAAACATCTATATTTTTTTATTATGTGAGATTTATACAAAATGGTTTTAATTTCACAGCCTCAGATATAAATTTATGGAAAACATCATAATAAAAAAAATTACTAAAATGGATTCAGTTCAAAATAAGAGGCAACTAATGATATTATTGAAACAAGATATTACATTTAAATATAAATATTATAACATTTAAAACTACTATAAACCAATATTAGTTTAATTATTACATCTTTATATAGATACTAGCTTTCCGCCTGCAGCTTCGCCCGCGTGGAGTTCGGTTATATCGCGTTTCCAAGAGAACCTTTCAAAAGTCTGGGATAAAACTATCCTATATTCTTTCTCAAGGTCAACTCTGTCTCTGTACCAAATTTCATTAAAATCAGTTCAGTGGTTTAGGCGTGAAAACGTAACAAACAGACAGAGTTATTTTCGCATTTATAATATTAGTAGGGATATATAATTCTACACTACGTGAGTACATATCTAAACTTCTAAACGGCTGGTACGAATTAAATGTTTTTTTGTAAACATTTGGGTGGCTCCCCAGATGGTATACACTTTAGTCTCACAAATCATGCCGACAGATGGCGCCGCAGTCAGTATCTAGGTTGTTTAAAACACAAAGGCGACAACGTAGTTTACTATAAGTATTGTTTTAATACACTATACATTTATCTTTGAGAGTTACTCTGATGTTGACGCGTACGGAAACGTGGGGAAACAAAAACTAGTTATATACATTTATATACATATGGCTTTTATTTCATGGGGATTTGAAGTTGAGGAAGATAGAATATTCATCATAAGATACTTAAACTTATGTTATGAAGACAGCTTTTGCATCTAAAGTATTACTGAAATGAGAAAAACATACTGATCGACTATATGTTGTCTACATTTGTAATATAAATATTAGTAATAAACTAATACATCTTATTATAGGAAAAACCCATATAATATGTATTTACACACGATTCTTTACAGTACTTATTAACAAGATAAATATTTTAATACACTGCTCTTTTATATTCAAACTAGTAATACAAAAGAAAAAATATTAGAAAAAAATATATAAATACAAAAACTGGTACAAGTTGTATAAGTGTAAACCCTTTTAGTGTCTGGTTTATATTGAGGGGCTTTCAATAGTACTGCGTATTAAGTTGAAGAGGTGCCCTAATTCCTTTGTTACTAAACTACGTTATACA